GCAAATATATATTCTTGCTCCCACGTGGCCCCAACCATTGTGATGTCACTACAGTGATTGTGCCAGACTTGGTGCACTTGTAGGCCACATGAAGTGTCGAAGGCTTATTCTTTGGCTCTTTCGGTAAAGTCACATAGATAGGTTGTTATTTTTTGTTATTTTCTTTGAACCTATCGACGTGACTTTACCGAAAGACCCAAATAATATGAATTCCTGCAGTCACGAAAGCTTTAAGTCAAGATTGTCGAAGGCTTGATGGCAGGATGCCACTGAACAGGCCCTGGTTTTTCAGCAGACCGTCTAAAACACGGTGCAGTGGGGAGCACAGAACAGGTTGTGCATCTGCCAGTCATCTCAGTATCGGTCCATTAGCCACCACCACCACATCACACCTCCTGGATGGCACGTGCATTATCAGCCGCCTCTGCTGCTTCGAATAGGCGAAATGGAGTTTCATTGCGCGTGGACCGGGTGAAAAACCTGGGGCCGAACACGTGTGAATGAATTCAAGACACCCACCCAGGCATGGGGTGGCTTTTGTTGTTGTTGTTCTGGTGGTTGCGAGATTCTCTCCGGTGCCCCTCTGAGCTTGGGGAAGCCTGAACTGGTGGTTGATGACGGCTGGTCCTCTCGAAGTGGCTTCGCACTTCCGAAAGCATCTCTTGCTGGAAGGGAAAAAAAGTCCCGCTCACATTAATTCTGTGATCTCACGGCGCCAACCTTGTTGTGGTTTCAAAGAGCCCCCATGTTGAGGCTTCATGGGTCCCCTCCCTTCAAAGGAGGCAGCCACGTGATACCCCCTCCCCTGCCTTAGGTCCATCCTCCCAGCGGCTCTGGAGCAATAGAGGTCCTGTAGTCGGCATACATACACAAAGCCCATGAGTTTAAGGCCACAGGTCAAATTAAGTTACGCAATGCAAAAAGAACACGCACCACAAACGCACGCAACGTACGTAACAATTGCGCATTTATTTAGACACACGCCAGCTGTGGAGCACAGTCAGGGTGAATGTGATTAATTGTATTCCAAACGTATTTATGCGAAGCCACGTCTACGTCCCGTGCTCTCAGGTGCGCTGTTTAAAACGAACTACAAAAAAAACCCCACAACACAACCCATGAAGAATTTGCTTTTCGTTTGGTACAAAAAAATAAAAACGTGCAACTGTCAACTCGCACCTCCGTGACTGTTGACGTTAACATCTTTAAAGCAGTCAAAGTTCTAATGCGAGCGAGCACACACGGTGGCCACAAATGTGTAAAGTCAATGATGCTTTCATCTGCGCGAAAGGCGCTATAGGGAGATTTGAAATGGAGAAATGTCAGCGTCGGAATGCACTGCGTTCTGTTCCCCCGCGGCTGAATGTTTTTGTTATTAAACAATATGCAGGGGTTTGCTTAACCTGCTGCTGTTTTTTTGTCCCAATTACATAGCATTTTTTTGATGTTGTTGTTAAAAGGGCTCGTATAATTTTGCAGCTAAGTTAATTTGGCAGGTGCGCTTAATTTAGCAACGTTGCACGTAAAATAAAAGAATGCTGCACGTGCACGTATCACCATCATCATCGCCGTCGTCGTGATTGTCAACTGCTGGATGAAGGCACTCCCCATTCCAGTCGCCAAATCCTCACGTCCCCGAGATGCCCGCAGGCCATCGTACTCATCCGCACGAATTGATTTCGTCGGTCCGTCCACGCCGTGAGCTTACTCACTCGGGCGTCTTCCTTCGGCTGCGACTCAGTCACCGGACTTGTCCATCGGCCATCATCCCATTTAGTTGTGATGTTTATCCTCCTCCTCCCTCCTCCTCCCTGCCCCCCCCCCTTCCCTTCGTCGCTTCCACGGTTCTGTTACGGTGCCTCTCTGATTTCCTCCTGATCCACGTGTTCCCTCTGTCTGCGCCTCAGCGTAATTCCAATTATGAATTTGCTACACCCCCCCCCTCCCTCCTCCCCCATGCAATTAGTACTTTTTACACAAGGGCTGTAAATAAATTATTATTGCTATTGTACACAGTACATCGGGTGGTATAGCGGATAGCGCACTGCACTTCCACGTCACGGCCAACATCAGCGGTGAGCGATATCTCAACCGATCCTGGGCGCGATCTCCTCCTGCAACAAGCCAACAATTCGGCGATTAGTAAAAAAAAATAAATGATTTAAAAACCGACAAAAAATATGGGTGCCGCTCTAAAGAATGCTCGAATCCTTTGGAACGCGTTTGCCTAACGCAGTTATCCCCCTCTCCCCCCCCCCAGCCCTCTCTCCCTCTCTCAATTAGGGGCGTTCCAACACACACTAATCTGCCAGACGGGACGCAATGACTCCCTCCCTCCCTCTCCCTCTCTCCTGGGGAAAGTTCTCTCTGATAAATGGGAACGGAAGCCAAGTGCGCCTGTTAATTAGCGCACACTTTGCACCGTCTTGAAGCTCACCGAGACACCAATGCGACCCCCACTCGGCTCCCCCCCCCCCTGCGAGCCGCTTTCTTAAATGAGTAGAAAGCCCGCCGACCTCCCAATGGGGAGTCCATAGACGTGGGACGATGTGGAGGATGTGGGGGGCTTAGCTCAGGGAAGTGGAGGGGGGAGGGGGGGGGGCATGATGGAGCGAATACTGGAATACCTTTAGCGCAGGCTGGGAATGCACTACCGCTCCGTGGGGAGCGGTAGTGTAGTGGTTAGCGCGCTGCACTATGAACCGGGCGTCCCGAGTTCGATTCCCGCTCACGATCACGACCAGCATCGGTGACAAATATCTCGACCGGTGTTGGGTCCGCCCTTAGGTCGGCTCAGCCCTAAATGAGTACCTGGTGCTCATTTCATCGCCACTGGGGAGGCAAAGGGGGCCGGATGTGGTGTGTGCCAACCCACCCCCTTCGTAGATGCTCGCTAACAGTACTTGCCCCAACAGTCTGTTGAGGCTACATGGGGAACTTTGTCTTCGTGTGGCGAGCGGTGGCGCAGTGGTTAGCGCACACGATAACTCGGGTACCATTGCCGGTCAAAGCTATAAACAGTCACTGGTGGTTTACTCTAGGTCATCTTAGCCTTAAATGAGTACCTGGTGGAATGCTTAAGCAACATGAGCACATGAGCACTTGCCACAAATAACATTGATGATGACACCTCCGGATGAATGATGATGGATCACAGACGGACCACACCCGGCCGATGTCTACCAGGTATTCAGTGACACCAGGTATTCAATTAAGGCCCAGCCGACATGGGAGGGGGGGAGGTCATAGGACCGGTTCAGATACCATTCGCCACTGATGTGAGCCGTGGCCAGTAATCAGAATCCATGTCTGATGTCTGCACACAGTGGGATATGCGTCCCATGCGGTGATAGAAATTTTGCACAGGTGTGCTGAGCACTACTCCACCGCTTCCCCGTAACAAGACAAAGATCTCCCGTGTAGGCTAACAGACTGTAGGGGCAAGTGCTGTTAGCGAGCACCTACGAAGGCCGGAACGGTACACGAGGGGGTGCGTGGCCAGCACCACGCCCGAGCGCCTTTGTCTCCCTAGTGGAGATGTTTACACACCGCACCAGGTACTCATTTGAGGCTGAATAGACCTAGGGGAGGCCCAGGACCGGTTCAGATAATCGTCACTGGTGTTGGCCGTGAATCGAACCCGGGTCGCCGGGTTCATAGCGCAGTGCGCTATCTGCTACACCATCGCTCCCCACACAGACACACACGGACACACACATACACAGAAACACACACGGGCACACACACATACACACACACGTGCACACAAACACACACAGACACAAACACACACAGACACACACACGGGCACACACAGACTGACACACATACACACGCACGGGCACACACACACACACAAACACACACAGACACACACGGACACACACACAGACACACACGGGCACACACACATACACAGACACACACACAGACACATACACACAGACACACACACAGACACACACACACACCAGGGCACACACACAGACACACACACAAACACACACGGACACACACACACACAGACACACACATACACATACACACAGACACACACACAGACACACGTACTCAGCGACACACGCGAAGGCGAGAGAGGACGAGAGAGGAGCAGTGAAGAATCCCCTCTAAGCGCCTCCCTGGGGGTAACGTCCACAGGAGGCGTAAGCAAGCAAGTCTGCGCGATAAACTTGAGTCTCTGCCAGCGAAGCGACACTCCTCCTCCTCCTCTACTCATCCACCACGCACTTGCTCCTCTCGCATTAAGAGGTGGGGGGCGCGTGGGGGTGAGGATGGAGTTGGTGGGTGGGATGTGAATGGGACAAGGCAAAGAGTTGAGAGCGCGTTCACTCATCCCCCGTACCGGGTGCGAGAGGACAAGCACCGGGGGGGGGGGGGTGATGGTGGGGGGGGGGGGCAAGCAGCGAGATAAGAGCCACGGAGTTCTCGTGAAACACGCACGGCGTTGGCCGGGCTCTGCACAGAGACTGATTGATTGTTAGACCGTACGGTGAAGGGGGCGGGGAGGGGAGAGGGAGCGAGCAGGGGGTGGTGGTGGTGGTGGGGAAGCGGGGGGTGTGGTGTGTGGTGGTGGTGGTGGTGTGGGATGAAGGTTGAGGGGGGGGAGTTGAGGGGGGTTAGAAGTGGGGGGGGGGTGAGGAGGAGGAAGGGAGGGAGGCCGGCTAGAGGGGGTAGGGTAGGGAGTGGCGGAGTTCCCCTGGGGAAGCCGATTTCAGATCGCTTGTTTACTGCCCGTTACAAGTCCGCGCTCTCGGCTCCGTGCTGCCCAAATCCTCTCTGCTCGGCGCTGCTGCCGCCGCTGCTGCTGCCGCTGCTGCTCTAGCACGCCGGCGCCGCCTCCTGTGCCTCGCCCGCTCGCTCTTCTTCTTCTTCTTGTTGTTGTTGTAGTAATATCACTGCTAACCACTACTGCTGCTGCCGCCGCTTGCAGTGATTATTGCTGCTGCTGCTGTTGCTGCTGCTGCTGCTACAGCTCTTGTCCTGACATTGAATTTTTTTTTCCTTAAAAGCGCGGAGTGGTGGTGATGGTGGTAGCGGGGGCTTAGAGGGATTGGTTTGGGAGAGAGGGTTTGGGTAACGGGTGCTATAGTGGTTGCTGGTGCTGGTGTTCGTAGTGGTTGGGGCGGTGGTCGTGGTGGGTTTTTCGGAGCTGGTGGTTCCAGTGAGAACGGGGCACGCTGCGCCTTGTCAACGGAGCCAGGGCGGGGGGGGGGGAGCACAGACGGAGGCGAATGTGACGTGTTTACTCCATTTCTGGGCATGTTATGATCATTGTTGGTGTTGTTAGTTGGTGGTGGTGATGGTGGGAAGGAGGGAGGTGGGGGGAATTCGGTATATATATATTTTTTTGAAATCACTAACTCGGCCGCTTTCCAACACGGAGCGCTCATAAGTGACTGTCGCGACCGGCTGGACTGTTTTAATGCGTGCAGACTCGCGCAATCGGTACCTCTAGTAGGCCGGCCACACGCCGACTAACACACACACACACTTTACATTATTACAGAACGGGTGCTTGTTTTTGCGAAGAATTAACAGGGTAGTATTGTGTGTGTGTTTTTTATTTTCACTTATATTTTTGTCCCACTCAATGTAATTCGCCGCAGCTGCGTTTAAAGTCGTGTACTTAAACAAAAAAAACAAATCCAAGCCTCTTCCGAAAAAAATAAATCACCACCCGTGTTTTAATTTACTCACCCAAGCTTTTGCATCCGAGCGTTGAGCCTTCGGGGCAACTTCAACTTGGCCCGAAGAGCAATCTCTTAAGTAACGCTTTAACCGCCTGTTTACACGTGTCAGAGCTGGTAATACAGACATCAAAAAGCATTAGTCTTGGCTCATCACCACCACCACCAGCACCAACCACCACGACGACTACCGCCACCATCACGCTCGCTGCCGGCCGAGCAGAACGACGAGGCTCGCCGCTCCCTTTTCCGACCCCCCAAAATCCTGGAGGCGACATCGCCATGCGGACATCGTCGTCGTCGGCGGCGTCGGCGCCGTCGTCGTCGTGTAACGCCTGCAAGGGTCTTCTTGTGGGCGTCGTTCTCCTGCTGCTGACTCTCGCCGCCCCGGGCGGCTCGCTGGGCTGCGAGACGCGGCTGTCCCGCGGCCGTCGCTCGCTCCACCACCACCACCACCCGCTCAGCCGCTACCCTCGCCACTCGCCCAGGGGACACCGGCCCGAGCCGCACTCCGCCACGGCGGCGGCGGACGCGGCGACGCGCGGACACCGTCACCCCCACGCCGTGTCGCTCTACTTCACCGGCAGGCGGGAGCAGCTGAAGAGACGCGCAAGCCGCGTGCCGGGAGGGCTCCCCAGGTCCTCGTTCACCGTGGAAGTCTGGGCCAGTCCCGAGGGAGGGCAGAACAACCCCGCCGTCATAGCCGGTAAGCCGTACGGTCACATTTTGCGCGTGAATATCTCTCGCGTCACCCCCGACACCATCCCCGTCGCTTCCCTTCCACACCGCCGACTCGGGAGTCTCCGTTCTCTCGTCTCGATCCAGGGTGTCTCCCTGCCGCCCGCCTGTCTCCCCTCCCTCCCTCGCCAGTCTGTGTGTCAGTCGGTCCGTCGGTCTAAAAATGTATGCAAATGTTTGTTGTGTGATACCGTGGGCACGAGTTAGCGATGCAATTGTACCACATTCGTCAATTAGCACCGTGACCTGAAAAGGACGTAAAATATATATTTTTGTTATAGACGACGTTTCGGGCAATGGCACCTTCCTAGCGCATATCTCTCCGTCTGTCTCTCTGTTGCTCACTTATTATTCTTGTCTCTCTCTCTCGTCGTGACCGCTTCGTTCATGGCTTTAGCGCTACTTGCTTAATGTCATGGGCGGTGGAGTTGTGTTTGTGTGCGTGCGCGTTTGCCGCTCTTTATCGAGTGCCCGCTAACAGCACTTGTCCCAACAGTCCGTTGAGGCTATACGGGGGATCTTTGTCTTTGCGTGTGTAAAGTGCGGGCGGGGGGGGTGGGGTGGGGGACACTTGCACTCTGGCTGGGTATGCGAGCACTGTTAATTTGGAGGAGGGATTACGCCGGAAACCCCTAAAAAAAACTGCAATAATAACGATAATGTCATTGACTGAGCCAAGGAAGCCTCCGCCGAGTCTCAAGACGCTCATTAAATGGAATTGGTCAAACGTCCAAATGCAGGACCCTCGTGAAAAGGACTCTTCAGAGTCGGTGAGGTTTATGTCCCAGTTGACAAAGGGGCATTTAATTTTAAATGGAGAACCCTGCAATCAGATGCTTGGCCAATTTGGTGTTTTAATGAGTGTAAAGCTGAGATTAATATAACGCACATTTTTTTTGTGATACACTGATTCCCATCATCACGTGAATTCGGTCTTTCCTCCCAGCAGCAAACTTTTTCGACACCGGATATTTAAAGTTACTTTTAAGTGACTCACAAGTGCAATATAGGGCATGCGCATCATAGCATCACATTTTTGTTCTGCCCGTTTAAGTCACGTGGCTTCAGATTTTCCTGGGTAAGGAGCTTAATAATGAACGATATGTCAACACTAAGTGCATTTTCAAGAGCCCAAAATTAACTGAATAATGCACATTTTCCTCGATTCCACACATAGTGAATAATCTACAGTACATCTTTTTACAACGTCGGCCAAAATATTTAATAATTTATCCATTACATATATTTTTTATCACGAAGGAGATGAACTCCGAGCAATGTTAACCCTCGTGCAAAAATCTCGTGACGTTTATCGCTCGCGTTGTGGAATTCCATCGCTCCGTCTCCGCCGTGGGCGACTTCTCGGGGACTGCCACTCCGTTGCTAGTCTCGACCCGGCCACCGTGGCCACCATCACGTCTGGCGACGTGCGCCGCCCTCTGTTTACGGTTGATGCGACGATCTCCCCGTCCTTGTGCGCGTTCTCCTTTTGACATAATTTATTTTTAGTCACTAAGCGTCGAGTGCCGTCCCGTGCAGGTCGCGTGTGCGGGTGCGCGCGTCGCTAAGGTATCGCGATCCCCTTCGGGGTGATTTAAAAAAAAAATTATTTCACTTTTCAAACTTCCTCCGGCTGTGCCAGGTGTGCAGCGTTTGGGAGGCTGTGGTTGTGGACGTCGAGCATGCAGGTGGTGCAACTGCACCCGGGGATGGAGGGACCAGGTGCTGGCTTGCGAACAAGGCTGGGAGGGGTGGTGGGCAGGTGGTGGGGATTCGGGGAGTGGGGAGGGGGCAAGATTTGAACAGAGGTCCCTATTTCATTCAATAGGGCTGATAAGAAGCCACCTCGTGATGAACGGTGCTGACAGCATGGCGAGTGGGAGGCACGCAAAAGCCACCACGGGCCTCGCCACCACCTCGCACACTCTGTTTGGACGTTCTCTTTTGAAAACTCGGGCAAGCACTTGCTTCACCGTGGTCTCTTCAGCCTTCATTCCGTACCACCCCCCTCCCCCCCCCGGCGCTGTTAATTTTCACACGCATCATTCGCAAGCGTCGTCATCATCATCATCGTGAGCCATTATCTATCCACTGCTCACTGCTGGGGTGAAGTCCTCCCCGATGCCGTTGGCATCCCCCTCGTGGCGTTTTTATTGTTGTAGCGGCGACGCCAAAAATCGTCCGTCCAGCTCCCACCTCGGCTGCGGTCGCTCGCTCGTTTGGCAGCAGCTCTGTCGCCTCCACCAAACCGGAGCCGTCGCCCGTGGCTCCTCGCGGCAATCGGCGGCGTGTCCTGCTTGAGGCCACGTGGGTTTCGTGCCGGTCGACGTATTGTGTGACGGTGTCTCTGATTTCCGTGTTTTTCTCTCTCGGGTCCATGTGTTCATGACCGTATATTACATCTCTTTAGGAAAGAGACACTTGCTCAGGAAACATTCTGACACTTGCAATAAAGTCACCGTTTTTTTTTTACCCCCATTAGACAAATGCATTTAGCCTGCAGGCAGTCAGAGGTACACGTGTAAGTGTACCCTATAGATTGGTGCATTGGATAGGAATGTAAGTGGATGCGAACATTACTTTATTGGTAAAACATGCCAGGTCTCACTGGGGGAAAAAAATACATGTTGCTATAATCATCATCATTGAAATAAAGGATACAACATATCTACCCAACAAGCTACCTATCTGCCTGCATATTTAACTGTCTCTTGTTATTTTACCTGCCTAATTACCCATCATTTACCTACCCATCTGCCTACTTGCATACCTATCTATCTGCCCGCCGACATATTCACGACATATACCTGCCTACCCACCTGCCTAGCTACCTACCTGCAAACCTACTTACCTATCATTGTTTCTACCTACCTATCTGCCTGCCTACATATACAGTACATATCTACTATATTGCTTACCTGCATGCCTGCCTATCTGCCTGCCTACCTACCCATCTTTTCACCTACCTGCCCGCAAATAATTATACTTACCCACCTACATATCAGCATGCCTATCTACCCGCCTACCTACATGCCTAGATGTGTCCCACAAAGGCACCCGAGTGCGCCACAATCTGCAATTATAACACCGTGTTCTCGTGCACTCGTGGCCAAACGCTAATTTCAATGGGAAGTGGGCAACCTTCATAAATGCCGAACCCTCCCTCCTGTAATTGAGCATGGAATCCTCGAGGCTTCTCTGAGCAAACACCTTCCGTCTTCATCACCGCCACCACCACCACCATTATTATCGTCGTGTTGATGGTGCCGGAGAGCGAGAAGCTCAGTACGTTCCTGGCTGGCACGGCGGGCGGCAGATGACGACGATCGTAAGATGTCAAACCCGCCAAGGTTTCTAATTCTAGCGCTCTCTCTCGCGCCGAGGTCCAAAGCGTGCCCCGCGAACCGCCAAGAGCTGCGCGTTGCGTGGGCGGCGTCGGCGGCTGGCTCCCGCTGCGGTTAGCGGTTGGCACATTGGATCACGAGTGGCTGATATTGAGCAACCAACGTAATTTGTTGTATATGGAAGCCTTTAATAGAGTTGTCACATTATATGACCGAATCACCCAGACTTGCGCCTCCCCCCCCCCTCGCTCCTCCTCCCTCCCTCCTCCCCCTGCTCCCGTAACCTTTCACGGATCTTGGGAGACGAGGTTAGCTCGAGTCTGGCCAGCGCTCCCGATGGGCAAGGAACCGTGCAAAATAAATAAATAAATAGGTGCTTTAGGCTGCGGTGGAGCTACCGTGTGGACAGCAGAGGGCAGTGGAGAAAAAAAACCCCATTGTACTGTACTACGCTCCCGCGTCTATGCTTCACGCTTTCGCCAACCCGCACCGACCGGGGAGGTGCAGTGGAGTCACGTAACCGCCACAACCCGCATGGCGAGAGGGGGGGGGGCCCTCGTCCGGCAGCGGATTGACAGAAAAAGCAAGGGGGCTTTGCAAAGTTCGTCAAGTGATCTTTCCTTTGGCGAGAAGCAATTAAGAGGCTCCGAATTTGTTTGAGGTAGCTTGCGTGGACACACAGCCCAAAGATACCGAAGTTGCGCATCTGCACCACACGTGCAACACACACAGTACTCGTGCACGCCGCAGATGGCAGTACGGTGCGTGTACATTGTCCGAGCACATCCCTGTTGGGGATTTACTGCTCAACGAGCGCCTCCCCATGCCGCTCTGGGGGTTATTTGACCATACCCTGCCTCGCTAGTCAGTGCGGGTTGGCGAGATAGACGTGGGCTCTTGGGCAGTGCGGTGCAACAATGGGCGGAACAGAGCTCGCGTTTTGCATTCACGGAGAAGCGACACAAAACAAAAATCTACAATAATGGATGGCGACAAAAGCCGCAGCATCAAATAGGTTCGGTACACCTCCAGCGTACCTGAGACGTCTCGGTCCCAGGGGACGCTCAGCGGACGGACGATGGCCGCAAAAAGGATTGCCGCCTGTCCCCCTGCCCTCAATGAGGCACCTGTGACACGCGCAGGGTGGTCGCCAAGGTTAATTCTGATGCGGGAATGGTAACGAGGCGGGAGGAGGGAGGGGGGTTGGTAGCGCTGTGGGTGGCATCTCGGGTGCCTTACACAAGGCTGGCATCGTGGCAAAAATTGACAAGTGGGGCACAGAGTAAGGAAGACTCCTTTTTCTCGCGCGTAAATATTTCCACGTTCACGATGAGCCGCCGTGAGAGAGGTCCTTACGTTCGCGATGCGCTGCATGCATGGAGCCGCGCGTTTCAAAATAGATTATTTACGATTCTTGCAACAACGATACAACACGCACAAACGATTTGCGCGTCTTTGCATTCATGCTAACGGGGTGAACAAAACTGCACAAACGAGGTGGTGGTGGTCAAACGTGAAACGATGCAAACGAAACGGGCAAAACGAGCCAAAAGAGAAAATCAAACCCGAATAGAATAGCGAGAGTTCGTTGAGTCGCTGGAGGAGGAGTTAATCGTGGCAACTC